CGCATCGGGCTCCCTGCTCGGCGGGAAGCCTGCTTCTCCCTCTCCCACTCCCCCTGCTTGTGTTCCCTCTCTCGCTGTGTCTCTCTTTGTCAAATAAATAAATAAAATCTTTAAAAAAAAAAGAAACACTTGACTGTGGCCTAAAATTTTCTTACCATTTTTTCTTCCTTGGCAGGTGGACTTCGAAGAAAAAAGCAGAGAGGAGCAAAAAGAATATCAATTATTCCAATAATGGTCATGAGCCATGGAAATCCGATTGCCTTTGCGATAGCCCCACCAGCAGAAGGACCTTTCAGGAAACAGAGAATCAGATCGACCTCTCTCCAGACGTCTCACAGATAGGAAGATACAAAAGTTTAAATAATTTTCAATCAGCATGATCATGCATTAAGCTAAAACACTGTTCTGAAGAGCCAGCGTCCTTACCTATGGCGTATCCCATGCAGAAGGCCACATCCGCAATGGCATACACGCTCCCGTAGACAGACACGTGCCGCAGGTCGACCAGGTAGCCCATGATGGGCATCATTGATGAATCCACCATTCCTGTGGACAGTCAGGGAACATGGTCTATGGAAAACGGATGTAACCCAAAAATGTGGGGAATATCGGGGACTGTGTCCTAACCTCACAACCCCACCAGCTCTTCCCCAGTGGTCATCACCACCTGTGAGTCTCAAGGCAGGCTGCCTGAGGCATACCCTTCACTGAAGACAGACTGCCAGTCACTGAGGCTGGGACTGGAGCCCAGGCCACCTTTGCCTGTTCTCCACCTTACCTCACCTGTCCTCTATGGTCTGAAGGGCCCATCTTCCAGGGGAGGGCCCCCAGCCCTCTGGTGACTCACAGACCAGGCTTCACATCCAGTGGGGTGCCAGCTACCAGCTGTGTGGCCCTCTCACTTGCTTCCAGCTGGTGCTTTCCAGATTAACTCTCTTCCGGTCCACTGGCCCCTTGCCCTCACCCAGGGGCATACCTACAAACCTCACACACCCCCATCCTCATCCACAGCTTAGCCTCACACGCAGACCATAAGAAGAAGCTGGAAAGTATCAGGGAATATGGGAAGGAATCAGAACATGAAGCTGTCTGAGAGGTCACCCTGCCCTGCTCAGGGAAGAGACTGAAAGAGGTCTGATTTGGGGCTCAAACAAACACCACGTCCAAGGCCAGTATTATAATCTCTTGTTCCTTCAACAGGCAGGGACAGGAAGCATAAAGAAAGAGCATGTGTGCTGAGTCCTGGCCTCAAGTCCCTGGCGGGGTGAGCACAGCCATTCCTTCTCTCTCCAAACACTGGCTTCCCCATCCATAAAATGGTGCAGATAATGATTGGCTAAAATGAGACTGTATCATCCGTGGACCCCTCCAGCGGGGTACTCCAAAGTTAGCTCCCTCACCCCCACCAAGGACTAGCAGCAAGAAGAGGAGGGAAGTTTCTTTCATTCAATGAGTATTCCTTGATCCCCTAACATGTGGAGGGTGCTGGGGCCATGGGGTGAACAACGTGGACAGAAGGGGCGGACGGGCCGCAAAAAGCTGAAACATGAATCACAGTTGTCACGGACACCATGAGGTGCTGTGTGAGGACAAACCTAACCCAGCCTGGGGAGTCGCAGAGGCTCCCTTCGCTCTTTCCACGGTACCAAAGATTCAATTCTTGCCTTTAGCTTCTGATAGATTTGGCATTTACTTTTATTAGGCCCCATCTGTATATTACAAATGAGAAACAAATGTATGCTGTTTATTGAAAACGTTCACGAGATTGTTCCTAACATGTGACTATTCCTCCCATTACAGACTCGTCCCCTTTGCCGGTGAGAAGTCCCGCAGCACGGTGGTGATCGATATCTCTGTTCACCCTTTCTGTACCAAACCTCACAGAAAATACATGTGAGGTCTCTGCCCCCACCCCACCCCGGTTCATAGGAGCAGCTCCGTGCACAGACCTGAGCCCAAACAAACGCGCTCTGAGCGAGGGATTCTCTTGTTTGCCCAAGGGCAGCAACGGAGTATCCGTTTGCTTCTGTAAATATCAGGCTTTTAAAAATACTGGTTTTCTGGAAATAAAGGACTAGTATGCAGAAGCAGGTATCTATCTATAGATAATCGTCAGGCTGTACTTGAACGTGGCTGCCCACAGCCTCCTCTCAAGCTTCCAGAAATTTTAGGTTGAGAAACTACAGTCTGCCCAAATAAGAGGAGATCTTTCTTAGTTGTGGGGAAAACAAAGTTTCAAATTTAGGCATAAGGTTATGCAACTTACCGATTGCAAAACCAACTCCAAAGTTGGGAGCTATGAGTCCATAAATGTTTTTTGCAAAAGGAATCTGTAAGAGGAAAGAAACATTACACGAGAATCGTGATATCCAACGGCAAATCTTCTGGGAAAACCTTAAAGACATGTTTTCTCTGGCCTGGGTGTGCATGTTTCCTTCTGAAAGAAATGGGAGAAAGGACGAGGGTGCTGTCTGGGGAGAACCGCGACCTCCGAGTCTTTAAAAGTTGAAGCTGAAATGGGTTTTTGCGACCACCAAGGAAAACTCGCTGGCTGCCATAGTTGAGATCAGCCTGGACCACACTCCACTCTGACAAGAACCAGAAGGCCTCACCTGCGGTAGATACGGGCCATTGGTAGAAGGTGTTTTATTCTAGAAAAACATCTTGCTATTGTTTCAGGCTAGTTGTCTGAAAGTGTTTTAAGACACTATAATGTTTAAAATGATGAGGGAGTAGTGACATTTACACTATGTAACAAAATATACTACAGAACCTCCAACTGACATAAAATGAAAATATATTCCTTGGAAAATCTTGTCCAAAGTGTTTAAGATGACAAAAAATTAGAGGAAAATGGGAGATGTCATAAAACCAAATATCAACAAACTTTAAACAGCTGTAAAAGGTTTCCTGGGGATTCTGGCCCAAAACAAAAGTTTTATTTACAGACCATTACCACTTGTCAAATATCTTTTACTCACACATAAAATGCTGATTCCAACAATTATCATTCCTAGAAGAGCACAAAGCCACCTACCAAGAAAACAAAAAAAGCACCTTCAATAAATGACCACTCCGATTTTTTCCCCAGTCCAATTTTTCAATAGAAATTAAAACAATTGCTTGTGATAACTAAGGCAGAAACATGCAGAATTTGCTTAAAAGAGCTACATTGTTCTAAGAGAGTGAGCGCTGTTCGCATTTCATCTTACCTCCCCATTTTGTGTGCGAGCATCCCAAAAATATTGGTTCCAATGAGATAAGAGATGCTAGCTGGCAAGAAAGCAATGCCTGTAAATTTATGAAAAGGACACCTTATCAGTATTGATTATCAGTCAAGTGTTAGAAAAAGTAATAATTGTCAGACACCATGATGGTGATTAGAACCGAGGAGAGAAGCCCTGGGGCCAGCACCCAAGCAGCTAATATCCGGCGGCTGACGGATCCAGACTGGCCCCCACGGGTCTGACCCGTCCTCACAAAGCTGCTGAGACACTCCAGAAATGAAATCCATGCCTCTATCAACAGCTCCATCTTGCCTGGTGGTGGCTGCATGCGCAGCCTGATATGGGCGTCTCCCGCCCCGGGAGCGGGGCCACTGCGACCCCACACGCGCCCCGGCCTCACCCCTTTGGTACTTTACCACAAGGAGGAAGACACGGGCATTGGGGGAAAAAACGGGCATGTTAAGGACCAAGAAAAAAGTTAAAATCATCCCAAACCCCATCACTCAGAGAATGAGCATGGGCATCCCCTCCCGTAAGTTTATACACGCAAGTTCATACACACACAGATAAATGTGTGTCCATGGGATTTTAAGAAAAAACAAAAAACAAAACATGGGTTTGTACTACTGTTCTACACGCTGCTTCTTTCAACTAGCTTTATGAACATCTTTCCATGTCTAAAAAAATAAATGTCCACGTGGTCCTTTTCTGTGGCCGAGTCACGTGACGGACATTGACATGTCCAAGGTTTCCACGCTCTCCCGGGCACCTGGCATCCCCGGGCCAAGCCTGTGCCAATTTCCAGGTGGGTGGCGGTGGTCGCCTTGAACGTCGTCTCTGCATTAAACAGAAAGTCCTCCTCGAGTATGACCTGCCTGGCTGCTGGGGATTTGTCCACATCAGCTCCGTGTGGTCCCCATCCGTTATCAGGACAATCAGGCTGCTGGGGATTTGTCCACATCAGCTCCGTGTGGTCCCCATCCGTTATCAGGACAATAGACAATCTCTTCTCAAAAGATGGCTTTTTTCGAACTAGTCATATTTTTTTTTTTTTAAGATTTTATTTATTTACTTGACAGAGAGATAGAGAGCACAAGCAGGGGGAGCGGCAGGCAGAGGGAGAGGGAGAAGCAGGCTCCGCGCTGAGCAGGGGGCCCGATGTGGGGCTCTATCCCAGGACCCTGCGATCATGACCTGAGCCGAAGGCAGACGCTTAACGACTGAGCCACCCAGGCGCCCCAGACTAGTCATACTTTTAATGTTCTTCTTGGACTCAGTTATGCCAGATTTGATGCTAAGCCCTGCCCACTCATGGTGAACGTTGCTCAGTCCTCGATCCCATGACTGTGCGAGCTAGACATGCATGCCAGATACTAGATGGTCAGCAGGTAGGCACTGGAAATGCCCAGGGCCCGGGACCCTTCTTGTCCCGGCAGCTCGGCAGCGTGCAGACAGACAAGTGTGATCTCGCCCCTTCAAGGATACAGCAGCCTCCCCCTGCACCTCTCTAAGCACGAATGCAAGCCATCAAACCCTCCAGAGAGGCTGAGCCTTCCAGCACAGGAGGGACTTCCAAAATGATTAGGTTCAGGAGCGAAATCCAAAACCAAATCATCTTAGGCTTGGTGATCTGGGAAATAATAATAGAGAGCAATCTCATTTTCATGTTCCAGGAAACCATTTCCGTCACACTTGTCATAGGGGCGGCCAGATGATTGTTGGGTGTAATCGGATTCAGTAAACGTGACTGATAGCATGGCCCCGGCTCAGCGCTACAGTGAAGACAATGACCACAACGTGGCTCTGGTCGCCATGAGCGCGTCTTCAAAGGAAGGAAGCAGATGACGCCTGAACTGGGACATGGCTATGTTAGGGACTGACGAACACAGGTATGGACGCAGTGCTCTGGGAACCCAGAAGCTCCCCAAAGTAGCCGGTAATTAGGCCTAACCTTGACCACAACGTAGTCGAGTTAGTCTGGAGACATAAGAAATCACGAAGGCCTTGGTCTCAGGATGAGTGTCTCCGGGGTTCGGGGAGGAGGTAAATCAAGGAAGGAAGCAAAGTATGAGATAAATAACGGCACAGGGGCCATGATAAAGAGCCACCAACGTTGGGCCTCAGCGTCCGAGAAACAAAAGGAAAACGGAGGGGAAGGGCCTCGACCCCCTCCAGGAAAGCAGCTGCGCTTCCTCCCGGGCGATTACTGCTCTGGAGGACTAAGGTCCCAGATTGGAAGATCCAATTTTTCTAGAAAAGCCTGAACTCAAGGGTCTTACATGAAACCTCCTGGGATTTGTAAATGTTGGCAACTAATTTTTAAAAACGTAAAGCCCTTGCAGGCTGACACTGAAGCAGCCAACCAAAACCCACCTATGGGCTGAACTCCGGTCCACACACACCGCCGTAACCTGGAGCCAAAGGACGTGGATGGCAGAGAACTCGGCCAGCAGCCCTGCCTCCTGGTGAATCCGGATTCTAGGGGCAAAGCCTCAAAGCAGGACGTGCTCCCGAGGAAGCCACAGATCAGCCACAGCTTCCGGACTTACGAATGGGGTGCTAAGCTCACCCGTGGGACCCGCCTGTGGACGCACCTGATTTTCCATAGACGGCAAATACTCTCAGGTGGCAAACTCCAGTTTCGTGCTTCTCCGGGAGAAAGCACCGGAAGTAAGGCAAGAAACAACATGTTCCTTTCAGCTAGACACGGACTAGCGGAGGCTCGGGGGGTTCACCGTAACCTCTCAGAGCCCGAGAAACAGCGACCGCTCCTACAGCACGCATCTCATAGGAAGGCTTTGAGGTTCCAAGGGCAACTAGTCCTCCCTGTCTGATTCCCCTGCCCTGTCCCTCCCTGTGAGCTCCTTCCTGCCATTTCACCCTGGCAGGCTGGCCTTCCCCAAACTGCAGTGATCTCCTAGCGGGCAGGGGGGACCACAACACCTGTTCTGAGCACAGGTGGTGCTCAGAACACGGCTGAGCACTTAGAGAAAAAAACCCGTGTAAGGACACTGACTTCACAGAACCAAAAGTATTGAGGGAGGCCACTGTCCCTTGAAGGCAGGGCCCCCTTTGTCCAGCAGCCTGCCTCCAGGGGGTGAGAGACGACAGTGTCGTCTGGAGCCAGGATCCTCTTTTCTTGACTTCCAGCTTCGGACCTCAGCCTCCAAGCCCCTGAGAGCTGATCTGCCACAGCTTCACATCCTCTGCATTGCCAGGGCCCCCACCACACCACACAACCTACAGAACCCGTTCTAGGAACTCAAAGAAATCTAGAAACCTCAGTGTGCCTCCCCCAGCAGCCTGCCTGGTGTCCCAAGAGGAGACCACCTGGCTTTGCTCAGAGAGACCCAGGCTGGGAGCACTGCTCTTCCAGACAGATCTTTAAGGACCGTTCCTGCGAGGGGCAGGTGTCCTAACACCAAGCCCAAAGTTTGCCATCACTTCCACCCACTGGTCCTGGTGTGCATTCTGGACCTTCCACCTCCTCCCCCAGCCAGGCCACCCGCATGAGAGAAAATGCATCCCACCCATGGTTTGGCTTCCCCAGCGAACCACCACCAGGGCTCCGGGTCGTTCCCAGTGGCTGGGCATCCACTAACACCCTCGTGTACAAGTTCAAGTGACTCCTCGACCTTGAAACACGGTGCCCGGAACTGACCCCGCCCAGCTCCATGCTGGGGGCACAACACGTGACCACAGCACTTGGGGAAGGGCCGAGGGAACGGCAGGGCTGGCTCCACCATCTGGCCCCTGGGCTACTCCGGGTTCTGGAGGCAGTCACGCCTGTTCAGCACCCGGGGAGCCGCCGCTCATGCTCACACAACCTTTGAGGGGCTCACGGCGCACCGACCCGCACCCCCCCATCCCGTCCCCGCCAGCCTCCGGGGGGCGTCTTCCACCCTAGGGCAGGACTCTACCTTCTCACCAGAGGGATTCCTCCTTGTCCTTTTCAGCCCTTGGCTGGTGCCAGGGGAGATCTTTTAGGGTCTGTCACCAACTGGCCAACTCTGTCCCTCCCCAAACCCGTAGCCCCTGCAAATGTGACAAGAAGTCTCTGTCCGCCTCTTCCTGACACGAGGAGGAACGTGTTGACAGGCCGGCCTGCACACAGTGCGGGGGCCACACGTGGGAGCCTCCCCTTCTGCTGGGCCGCTGCTCTCCTCACAGGGGTGCCTGCACCTCCTCACTCACCCCTGCACCTATGAGAAAGTTCATCCACGGGGATCGTCTGCCCACCCCTGTGCTTCCATGGAAAGCCTGGCTTTGACCACCGGCTCGACGGGCACAAGAGGGCAAGGCTCAACCCACCATGAAGCCCCCAAGGAGCCGATGCTGGACATGCAGCCCCAGAGGGATGGTGGGAATGCGTCCGTGGGCTTCTTCCGAGCTCCAGAAGACCCATTCCTGAGGCCGCCATCTACCTCCTCTAAAAATTATGGCCGAAAACGCAGCGTTCAACAAAAGCCGTCATGCGTCCCCTGGGCAGCTGATAAGATTGTTTTGCTTGGACTTCACAGCTTACGGTCTTTTTCCAGAAATGCTGAGGGAAGCAGAGGGGCAGAAGGGACCGGAAAGAGAGCTGACACATGACCTTGCACCGGGAGGGGAGGCCGCCCAGGCCTCCCGAGAACAGCTATGCACCCTGCCGGCGGGTCCTCACCTCCACCCTCAGTCCTCATACTGCATCCCCTGCGCCCCGTGGCCTCCTCACCCCAAGGCTCCGAGGGGCCTGAGGGGCTCTGGGAGAGGTGCTCCACGCACACTGGGGAGGACATGGCAAAACAGGTGCAAATACGGGATTCTCTTGAAACACAAGTCCGTGTCGGAGGCAGGAAGGGCGTGAGCTCAGGGTGGAAAGGTGCAACAGGCGGACCATCTGGCCCAGGAGATAAGCCCAAGAGGATCTCCTGATAAAACCGAGGTGGTCTGCAGCCTGTTATCTAACCCAGAAGGCCCCGGCCTCTGATGGACTTCAGGACTTTCTAAAGAAAACCTCAGGCTGCGTCTGGAGAGGAAAAGGATGGAGCAGCCGAGGTGCCCTGCTCATGGCCAAGATGCATTCAGTCAGGAAAGAAAAGAAGTCAGTTAGGTGGGGACAAGAGAAACACCAGAAAAGGGCTTCAGCCCAAGAGCGCTCGCAAAGCGAACGCAGAGGCTCTGTGGACCCCGCAGTGCGCACACCAAGTGCCGCGGGGGATGAGGGGCGCCTCCTGGAAACACCTGGAGGCCCAAACCACCATGGGGAGAAACGGCGCCCACGGGGTTAATGGCCAGCATGGGCAACAAGACAGGAAGAGCGGCTCTTCATCTTTTATAAAACTCCCGGTTAGGGGCGCTTGGGTGGCTCAGTTGGTTAAGCGACTGCCTTCAGCTCAGGTCATGATCCCACGGTCCTGGCATCGAGTCCCGCATCGGGCTCCCTGCTCTGCGGGGAGCCTGCTTCTCCCTCTCCCACTCCCCCTGCTTGTGTTCCCTCTCTCGCTGTGTCTCTCT